TCAAGACACATTTTGATGATGATGAGCCCAATATAAGGAAAGTCATCTATTGGACAATTATGTCTGGTGTTCATGTTGGAACTACTGGATATACTTGTTTAAAAGTTGAGATGTTGGAATCTGGACATGAGGTAAGTTACATTTTCAATCGTAATAAAATAAATAACTCTGTATATAATGACCTTAAATCATGTTATTGATTTTGGTGTGTGGCTTAAAGTTGTGCTTTAAAACGTAACTAGGAGTGAACCTTGCTAACTGACTAATCATAGATCAAACTACTCAACATAGTTAGCTTTTTTTCGTTTAAAACGCGTTTTAAACTCGTACCGTTTTTTTTTAACAAAAAATCACGTTTAAAACGAAAAATAATGTCGGTCCGTTTAAAAAGGAAAAAAACTCCTACTTTCCGTATAAAACGTATTTTTTCCGTGTTTTTACAAAAAATAGAAACATGAACTGATCAATTCAATGAGTGCATAAAATGCACAGGAGATCAACAATAGCTTAAAAGCAAACAAAAAAACATCGTCCTCGTGACCGCGTGTTTTTGTATGGTTACAATGCAATTATTAGATACTAAAATTGATTGCATGACAACTAAAGCTAGCTTCCTAAAATTAAATACCAAAACGTTAAATACTACTGGATTTATGATGTTTTCCCAATCAACCATATCAAAATTAAGTTTTTTCTAACCCTGACATATGTTTAGTATACTTTTACAGTTTTACACATAAACAATAATAAGCGTAGGAGTCGTACAATGTACTTTTCTCATATGTCATTCATCATCTTGATAAAATGATGAGTTTAACTTCAGTATTATTTGATGATCATGTAAAGATAATGATTTTAACTTCGCCTCGTCTATGGTTATTATGTCTCATTTTTTAGACTTTATTTTGCAAAATTATGCCTTGGACTTAATTACTATTTTTATTTTTGTCATCGACTTATGCAATTACGAATTATTCTTTGATGTGGTAATGAGATTTGCTACTTGAATATGTTTATACTTTTATTTATTTTTACTATATATCTTATTTTGTGAAGTATATACTTTAAATGATCAAAATAATACTCCGTATTTTTTATCCGAATTTTTGTAACATATACCGTATTATACACGTATACGTATTCACACGTTTTTTAAAAGTCAACGTATTTTTCAACGAATTTTTGACCGTTTTTTTCAATCGAGTTACCGAATAAAACACGTACGTATTAAACCTCGTTTAATTCCCGTACCGTATTTAACTAACTATGCTACTCAACTCGGGTTTGTCCAATCAACAAAAATAAATTATTGAAGTAAGGATGTTTTCTTTTGGACTGTTTTCAGTCCCAGACCAAACCAGATCAGACCAGACTTAAACAGACCAGACCAGATCAGACTTAAACAGACCAGATCAGACCAGACTTGGATAGTTATAAAATACACAGAGACTAGACGTTTACCAGACTAGACCAGTTCAGACCAGACCAGACCAGACTTAAACAGACCAGACCAGACCGAATCAGACCAGACCAGACCAGCAAATTTCAGTCCAAAAGAAAACATTCTAATACATGCATATGTGTAACTAGTTTTCGAACCAGTTTCAGGTACGTTTTGTAGATGGTAAGAAAACAATGCTCAATAAAGTGAATACGTTTAATGCAAGAAATAAATAGAAAAATATTTCAAATTTTGATCATGGAATGAATTCCCCTAAGCTGAAGAGCCTTGTTCCGTGCTTAACTGTAAAGCAGAAGAATATTTTCACGCTTCAAAGCTTCAAGAAAAAGTCTTCTTTGAGGTAATTATACTAACCCACGTGGTTGTTTATTCAGTTGCAAAATATGTCTAATCCCGTGTTTGAGTGGTTATTTTTTGTTGTAGGAGAGTGATTCGTCTACCGACGAAGCTGGGGAAAAATCTTTGTTGGGACATTTGATCGTGGTTGAAGAAATGAAAAAACTAAGGGTGTGTATTGAAGGTTTGAAGTCTCGGTTGCAAGTTGTTGAAGGCAGTGTTGTTGAAATGAAGGTGTTGGTCGTTGCATGATTCGGAAAATTTGATAAAAATGCTGCTGCGAACCCCCCCCCCCCCCCCCCCCCCTTTCTGGATAGGATGAGGTAAGAATGCTTCAAAGCTTCAAGAAAAAGTCTTCTTTGAGGTAATTATACTAACCCACGTGACTGTTTATTCAGTTGCAAAATATGTCTAATTCCGTGTTTGAGTGGTTAGATTTTGTTGTAGGAGAGTGATCCGTCTACTGACAAAGCTGGGGAAGAATCTTTGTTGGAACATTCGATCGTGGTTGAAGAAATGAAAAAACTAAGGTTGTGTATTGAAGGTTTGAAGTCTCAGTTGCAAGTTGTTGAAGGCAGTGTTGTTGAAATGAAGGTGTTGGTCATTGCATGATTCAGAAAATTTGATAAAAATGTTGTTGTGAACTCCCTTTCTCGATAGGATGAAGTAAGCATGTATACGTTACTACTTATAAAACTAATGTTAGTGTGAACCGATGCTTCAATTTTAATTCCTCTAAAATAAAACTGAAACATGCCAAGTTTGACTATTTTTTAATCAACACAACTTTTCGATCCTTACACTCTACCGTACAGGGTCAGGGAAGCGTAACTCGACGATATCTCTCACAAGGCCATCGACATACGCATACATCAACAGACCGCTTTGTTCGTCACACTAGAACTCTCCAGAACTAGGTCACCCCACACATCCCTTGGCTCCCTATGCTTTGGACTGCGCCAACATTCCTTTTTGGGACAGATGTTGTCTTGGGCCATTGTGTAACGGGCCTTACGCAACCCATACCTCCCTTATTTTCTCTTTACTCCCCTTTATGTTTTTGAGTTGTATTTTGTAATATTGAACTTTGGGGAAAATACCTCAATAATACTAAAACATGTGACTTTTCTTGATATATGACCATGTGTGTTTTTGATCAACCGTAGGACCATACATATCATGTCATATACATCGGCTCTCCAACTAATGGAAGCAAAAACCCAAATTGCCCTTCCAAAAGCGTGAAAAGCCCAGAAACTGAAAAGAAAACCGCGAGAAACATGCGTCGTAAATTAGGCTTGTAAAACGGGTATTCCGTATTAACCGCTTCGGTACGGAGAATGTAACGCAATATTCCACTGAAGAATTTAATTTGAACTGGGAGAGAGAGGCGGCGTGTAACGAAGCATGACGAAGACGACTCCGAAGCGGGGAAGAAGAGCAGTGAAGAAGCCGGAGAAACAACAACAGGCGTCAACATCGGCGGCGACGACTGAATCACATGTTTTTACTGTCAACGGAATTGCAAGTTTTCTGACTAGCATGCCATAAATGTGTGGAATTAGCAAGTTTTGTGAAATAGGCATTGTGAAAGATCTTAGTTCGTGAAAGAGTTTGTTGATGGAAACAGGTTGGTGATGGAATTGCTTTGTGAAAATAGGCATCGATTTAGGGCATTATTTTTGGGAAACAGATTGTTGATGGATTTGGTCTGCAAAATAAGCAATGAGTTAGCGCAGTAATTTGGGGAAGGGATATTGTTTGAAGTTAGGGCAATAAATTCGTGAGGACAGTGGTTATGGGTGGTATAAATTTGTGAACATTATTTGTGGTAATTGGTTGATGATAGAATTGATGGTGTGGCAATAAAGTAGGGAAATTTCAGGTGCTCTGAAATAGGCTGTGTAATATTTCTTGCTTTGGGTGGCTGGTGATTGAATTGGTTTGTGAAATAGGCATTCATTTAGGGCAGTAATTAGGAAGGTTAGATGAGAGTAGGACAGTGTTTATGTGGTTGGCATTAATGTTTACTCAAAGCACCGCTTTTTAAAGATACAGGTAATGCACTATTGTTTCCAGCAAACTGTTTCCATCACCACTTAATGCCATGTTAACTAAAAATGTATTGAACTTGCTCTAAATAATGACTTGATTTACTTTCCTCAAAAAAATGTCATTCACAATTCCAAAAATAAAGGAAATCAGGGCATTATTTGGTGCAAGTTCAATAAATTTTTATTTAACAGGGCATTAACTGATGATGGAAACAGTTTGATGGAAACGGTAGTGCATTAACTGTATCTTTAAAGTGAGGTGATTTGTGGAAAAATTAATGAATTCTTTGTGAAGCACTAAAACAGGGCATTAGTATGTTCAATGGAATTACATAATGTATTAGTTAACTGGTGCTTGGTATGATTCTATAAACGTGATTTTAATTTGGCAGAAATTTTGAAGATTAGATGAGTGTAGGACAATGTTTATATGTTTTGGGAAATGTGATTATAACATTAAATTGTTTGAGAGTAAATAATTCACGACATTATTTTGTGCAAGTTCAATAAAGTTTTGTTGTATTTAACATATAACCACCACAACAAACTTTGAATAAACACTGATTTTGCATCAATCTTTATAATTGATAGATTTCAATGCACTCTTTAATTAGAAAGTATTAATAATCATATTCTTCCACAAGAACATTACTAGTTAATAGTATTCAATAATGTGTGGAGAATTAGGGCATTCTGACTAGTGTTTATTTTTGGGAAATAATTCTGATTGTGATTTTGATGCATATGAAAAAATAAATGTTTAATGGTGCAGGAATATATGAGGATGACTGAGTGTGATAACTTTGTTCTCGAAAAGTCAATATATGAGGATAGTTATTGCTATCCGATTAAGGAAGTTGAAAGTATAATAAGTTGCTTAACTAAGGATGAGCTTACTGAATTTAGAAAATCAGTGTTCGGATATTTCCTTGACTTGGGAAATATTCCTTGGATAAATGGGAAATTGTTAATCCTTCTCATGGCCAATCATGTTGACCGTTTGAATATGCCCAAGGACAAAACTAAGCTGGAGTTTCTGATTGGCAATAAGATTGCTTGCTTCACAAAAAGGGACATGACAGTTATCACCGGGTTTCCATTTAGTACAAACAAGCCAAACATATCCACACAGACTCCAGGGGACATGACTAGTGTTGAAAGAGGTCAAATTAAAGAGGCTTTTGTTCCTACATGTTATAAACTATAGTAATACTCTTGTTATATATTACAAGTCATTAAAGCGTCCAGAATATTAAATAAATGTGCCCAAAGGAAGTATAATGTGTAGTATGTGTGTATATGATGACTGATATTGTAGCATTAACTAGTGTTCTGAATTATTTTGGTGGTCATTTAGGATAAGCAGGAGAGGAGTGCAAAAGAGGTTGAGTTGGCGCATAATGAAGATGACAAGGGGATTAAAGACATTGACCCGACAAAAAACGAAGATAGTGTAGAACCACTTGACTCCCAGATTGTGGTAAGATGTGAAAATATGAGTTGAAGTTATATGTTGAAAATATGTGTTGAAGTAATGTGTTGAATATATAGGAAGATGTGATATTTTAATAGCAGTATTACTGTATGACATTATATTAATTATAAGATTTTGTACAAAATTCAAGTAATATTAGATTTGTAATAGTGGATGCTTTGGTCAAATGTGAGTAGAAGATTAATGTAGGACAGTACATTTAAGGCAGTATGTTTATTAGGTGAGTTGTGAATGATTGATTACACTGTTTAGACATAAGTTAGGACAGGATGTTTACGACAATCTGCTTATTTGAGGTAGTGAAGTAAGTTTATATATCACATTTATTACATAATCTAATCAGTTGGTTAGCTGTATTAGATTTTTCGGTAATTCAATTAGTATTATATTCTCTAGCAATTCAATTAATATTAGATTTGGCATACCGGTTGCTGAAAACATTATTATGCATGGATCAGGTATACACAGGGGACACAACCTCGCTGGTGGTTGAGCGCATGCCAAAACGACAGTCCAAACGTCCAAAAAGATTCACCTTCTCTGGGCCCCGAAAAGATAAAAGGAGGAAAGGAGAAAAAGGAAAGGAGCAAGATATAGGTGATGATGTGTGGCATGCAATAATGGGCCTATTTAGTTTAGATCCTTCACAAATGCCAACTGCAGAAATGCTTCAAAAAACAGCAGAAATCATGCATGAAGGACTAATTAAAAACCACAAAAAGAGCAAGGAGAAGAAATACAAGGCATGATATGATGGCTTAAAGATCACATGCGTGAAAGGAGGATTCGGGGATGGAAGCATTGATAGGAAGTCATGGTACTGCACGATTTACTTCTCAGGGAATTGGTTAGGTGACACGGTAAATTTATATTGTGTAATTTTTTTTTTTCATATTACGTATATTCACGCGTGTAACGCAGTAATGAATACTAAAGGGGAAAATTTTGTTTTGTGAAGCATGTGGAGAGAAGGATGTATTTCTTAAGGATGAAAGATGAACAATACAAGCTCCGTCAGAAATTCACGACAACAGACCCTATGTTTATGACTTTAGTGAAACAGCATTACGAGAACCACATTAACAATGACACGCCAGTGTCAGAAAGTGCTTTAAATAAGAATATAATGGGTACCATACTTGGGACACATTTGGACTACGCACTGCCATGGGCTGAATCGGAGCATGTCTACATGCCATTGAATACTGGTAACCAACTAAATTCCTTTGGTGAGTTGTGAATAAATGATTAAATGGTGTGGCAGTAATTTAGGACAGTATGTTTAGGGCAGTATGTTTATTTGAGGTAGTGAATTAAGTGTTTATTATATGACATTTAATACAGGTAACCACTGGATTCTGCTAGTGTTGGACATAAGCAACAAGTGCATACGTGTGTATGATTCTAGCGTTCGTCGGGGTCAAACAAACATACACCTTCACCATTACCTCCCGAGTATGCAAATGTATTTACCTAGACTGATGGATAAGCTAGGAGTGTACAATGAGCGAGGTGAGGGACCTATGGGGGATGACTTCTTGCAGATCTATATGGTGAAAGAATGCCCACAACAAAATCATAGGTATGTAATGTGTTCAATGATGGTTTTGGTATAATTTATTGCTAAGGCATTAAATGATAATTTTATTTATTCCTGAACAGTGACAGTTGTGGCATGTTTGTGTTGAAGATGGCTGAGTATTTGATGATGGGCAAGGATGTGGAGTAGGTGAGGCCTGAAGATATCAATGCTTACCGCAGCAAGATGACGACAAAGCTACTACTTGTTTATTTTGGTGTGATAGGAGCGTAAACTTGAAAAAATATTGACGAATGTTTTTTTAGAATTTTGAGATATGGATATTCGGACAAGTGGAGACAATACATTGCAGTATGGTTTTAAGTTTGAATATTGGGTTTTTTAGAACATTTATCTCAGAGGTTGAAGTTTCAATTTTAATGTTTTCATTTTAAATGTGTATGTGTTGGAGTAGATAAATGTTATTGCACTACTTATAGATGGACTGACTAGCTAGCTTGATTTATTATGTGAACAATTGATAATGTAGGTAAAAAGTTGCAGGACAATGAATCAAAACATGTCACTTATGAATTAAGTGTATTACAAAAAACAATGATGTAGGACTACGAGTATGTGGTTTTTAGATTTTATTTGAAATATTCAAATTTCGAAATCAAAGATGCCATTACCAGGATAGTAGTGAATTTTGAACTAATATGGTGAAGGACATGGAAAATTGGACAGTACTATGAGCATTAATATGAATATGTACATAAATGCATTAATGCCTACATTATCTGTAATATCGAAAATTCAAATAGTTTGGTGTATAACTTGAAATAAAATAATGTTAACGAAATGACATGGGTGATAAGTTTAGTTTTATGAATACACGTATAGGACTTGGATAAAGTAATAAGTGACATATGCAGTGTATTTTGGGAATTAAAAATTTAACATGGGCATTAAATAACTAGTAAAACACGATTATTAACATCTGGAGGGAAACAATGAGCAGGGAATTGATAAAAAACACCAAGAACAATGTTCAGAATCCAAAGAAAACCAAACTACATGTGACTGAATTCGCAACAATGTTGAAATTAAAACATTTTTTAACACATGTGTAGCGGAATAGGATTTCTACAGGTCTTTCGATTGTGTCCAGCCATGTGACAACGAGTGCATGTTTGTCTCCGGACATGTTCTCCTGTAGAAGGAATCCTTCTTTTCTTCGGCCTTCCAGGAGGTCGTGATTCACATGATGGGGGCTTGCAAGTGACTTGACTAACATGTGAAGGTACCATCCAACCATCTGGACTCTCAATCGGATAAATAATATTGCGGTATGTTTGTGCGTGCCCAACGATGTGCTGTATTGTATTCTGAAACATAATCGTAGCAAGAAAGTCCTTACCGGGAGCGAATGGCAGCAATGGAATATACACACAAAAATCCATCCAGTTGAAATTCCTGACACGTGCATGTACGCTCCTTCAAGTTGACAACATACGAGCGGGATCTCTTATCAAACACCTCAAACTCAAAAGCACATGATAGTTTGACCTGCACAATTTATTATAAAACAAAAAAAAATATAATTAAATATTTAAAAATGTACACTTCATTGAAAAATGCATAAATTTAGGATATGTTTTAAATTAACAATGAAATGAAGACAATAAAAACAGTGAAATGAAGACAATGAGTTGAGGGGAATACTGTCATGACGGCCGCCATAGCTTGTAAACCTGCTAGTTCAGACTCAGAGTGTGTAGATAAACGACAATTGTTCGAGGCTGAAGATTCTAGCCGTTCACAAAACCATTTTTGCATCCTAGCAAGAATAAACTCTATCAGCTTACAGATTGGGTATTCTCGGGCCGTGGCATTAACTGCATTTAATGACTCCGCTTTATTGGACATCATAACAGAGTATCGATTCAGATTGGCATAAGCACGAGACCATTTGTCATGGCTCATCCGCTCTAAATACATACGAATGCGTTCATCTTCACTATCAAACATGTGAAGGTACTCTTGACACTCATACACAGATCCAACACGAGCAGCCTGCAAAAACTTCCATGACACAACTTTTGAGAGCCACAAAATCTGATTTTCAAATTAGTCAGTATGTGGTAAACACAATACCCATGTTCCACATGGGGAAATACAGAACGCACAGAACTAATAATGCCCTCGTGCCAATCAGACACAATATATAGATCATCCCTATGCGTCAGTGAATGCTTCAACATGCTGAAGAACCATGACCAGTTTTTAGTATTTTCTCCACTACAAATACCAAATTCCAATGGAAATATTTGTTTGTTTGCATCTGGTATACATGCAGTGAGTAATGTACCCTTATAATACGACTTCAAAAAAGACCCATCCACAATTATAACAGGAATGCAATAAATCTAACCATCCCTCCATGCAGAAAGGCACATGGAAAAAATTTTAAATTCACCATTTTCCTTGCACGAATAAGAAACAATAGAACCTGGTTTACTCCTATCAAGCACGTGACACATTGAAGGTAGTCGAACATATGATTGTTTTTCAGATCTCATAGTCATTTCCATTGCCAAATCTTTGGCAAGAGGACTTTCCATGTCCAGCCGGCCTGACGGGAATCGCCATCCGGCCGAGGGCATTTCGGGCACTTCCCGGTGGAATTTTTTGATGAATTTTTTTGAACATGTTCTTCATGAAGTCTAGTTTATCCATACCAAATTTTAGCTAAAAATGCAATCGGGAAGGCACTCAAATAATTTCTTGAAGTTAACTGGGCAGTTCATACACATATAAACTGCCCAGTTAACTTCAAGAAATTATTTGAGTGCCTTCCCGATTGATTTTTTAGCTGAAATTTGGTATGGATAAACTAGCCTTCATGAAGAACATGCTGAAAAAAATTCATCAAAAAGTTCGACCGGGAAGTGCCCAAAATGCCCTCGACCGGAGGGAGCATCCCGTCAGGCCGACCTGACATGAAGACTACTCTCTTTGGCAAACCTTGCTTTTTTATATGACATGTAAACAGTGTTCTAAAAGGCTCCAAAAGGCCCCGCCTAGGCGGGCCTAGGCCTGGGGCGGCCCAAAAACGCCTCGCCTTGACACAATGCGTGACTAAAGGCGGCCCAATTTAATAAAACTAAAATTTTGGTTTGTTTTAACCTATGTCCGAAGAATGAATTCGCCCCATCAAAGTCAAATATGACGGATTGAATGCACGGGCCTGAGACTTGCTGTCTTGGACATGCTTGAACAAAGAAAAGACCATATTATATACAAAAGTAGAAGCAACAGTCCTTATTCGCTTCTGGTGTGGGAAGTTAAACTTCAAAGGAAAAAAACTGCATGCTATACCGGCCATCCGTAGGTTTGAGCATGTGTGGTTAATACCTACTAGTATTACACTATTACCAACTTATCTACATCTTCATATACTTCATATTTATTTACTAAAGTTACTTTAAATATCTTAATAGTTATTTTATATATTGAAACATAAATAAATATCATTATTACTACTCCCTCCATTCAAATTAAGTTGCAAAGTTGACTTTTTTGGATCAAGCATATTCATTTTATTCCTTTAATTATACGAAGTAATATCAATTCTTAATTAAATTTTAATTTATATTTTGCAACTTTATAAATTTTAATTATTCAAATTGAATAAATTATCAGAAGGGGGTTTTACTTTCACATCGATTGATAAAAAATGTTGACTTTGCAAATAATTTGGGGCGGAAGTAGCATTATTTATGTTCATTATCAAAGTCATTATTATTACGATTATTATTATTATTGTTCTTATTGCGCATTGACATCATTATTTTATCATTGATCTATTGTATTATTGTTTCCTTTTGTACAATAGGTGTATATATAACACATGCATTTTCATGATATTATAACTCTAGAAGTTTGTTTTTGTGTGAAGAGTATGATGCTTTTGGATAAATTTATCTGATAATACATGTATATATCTACTAATACTTCTATGAAAATTAAAATGTTTAGTAAAAACCTAAAACGCCTTTTGACGCCTTTCCCCCGCCTAAATCCGCCTAGACTTCAAAGGCTTAAGGTCCGATCATGCCGCCTTCCAACGCCTTGCGCCTTCCAATCTTGTTTTAAGGAAGTACATTAGCGGAAGAATTTAAAAATTAAAATAAAGCATTTCTCCAAGCCTCCTAATATCTACCATTCTGCTAGTGTTGATCGAGATCCAATTTAAATAAATAAATGCATAAATAGAAAAAAAGGGATAAAGAAACAAGTCTAGTAGTCTAAGGCTTTGCTTGCAACTACTTGTGCTTAAATAAAAGCACTTTTTGGAAAAAAGTGATTAGTAGTAAAAGTTGGTAGTGTTTGGTAAAATAAGTGCTTTTTGTGTAATAGAAAAAGTAAAAAGTAGATTCTACACGAAAACCGATATAGTAAAAGTTGGTAGTGTTTGGTAAAATAAGTGTTTTTTTCTTAAAAAAAAAAGCCAAAAGCACTTATCAACAAAGATTGCAAACATAGCCTAAGGATGTTTTTACTTGAACTGTAATTTGCTGGTCTAGTCTGGTCTGGTCTGGTCTGGTAAGGTCTGATTTCTTTGTATTTTTATAACTATCCAAGTCTAATCTGGTCTGGT